GCTGCCGCCGAAGCCCAAATCGCTTGGGACATCCTCGCAAAATCGCTCTTGGCGCTGCTAGAACTCCATTCCCGGCGTACATTTTGGATGCCCGGAGCCAACTGTAGGCCACTTCGTGGTCTTCGAGTTCCCAGAACTCCATTCCCGGGCCACATTTTGGATGCCCGGAGCCAACTGTAGGCCACTTCGTGCTCTTCGACTTCCCAGAACTCCATTCCCGGGCCACATTTTGGATGCCCGGAGCCAACTGTAGGCCACTTCGTGCTCTTCGACTTCCCAGAACTCCATTCCCGGGCCACATTGTGAATGCCCGGAGCCAACTGTAGGCCACTTCGTGCTCTTCGACTTCCCAGAACTCCATTCCCGGGCCACATTTTGGATGCCCGGAGCCAACTGTAGGCCACTTCGTGCTCTTCGAGTTCCCAGAACTCCATTCCCGGGCCACATTTTGAATGCCCGGAGCCAACTGTAGGCCACTTCGTGCTCTTCGACTTCCCAGAACTCCATTCCCGGGCCACATTTTGAATGCCCGGAGGCTGAGGCACTGAGGCTGAGGCTGACGCTGAGGCTGAGGCAGGCTGAGGCTGAGGCAGGCTGAGGCAGAGGCTGAGGCTGAGGCAGGCTGAGGCTGAGGCAGGCTGAGGCTGAGGCCGAGGCTGAAGGCAGACTGAGGCTGAGGCAGACGCTGAGGCAGGCTGAGGCTGAGGCTGAGGCTGAGGCTGATGCAGGCTGAGGCTGAGGCAGGCTGAGGCTGAGGCTGAGGCTGAGGCTGAGGCTGAGGCTGAAGGCAGGCTGAGGCTGAGGCTGAGGCAGGCTGAGGCTGAGGCTGAGGCAGGCTGATGCTGAGGCAGCCTGAGGCTGAGGCTGAGGCTGAGGCTGAGGCTGAGGCTGAGGCAGACGGCTGAGGCAGACGCTGAGGCAGGCTGAGGCAGACGCTGAGGCTGATGCAGGCTGAGGCTGAGGCAGGCTGAGGCTGAGGCTGAGGCTGAAGGCAGACTGAGGCTGAGGCTGAAGCAGGCTGAGGTTGAGGCTGAGGCAGGCTGAGGCAGGCTGAGGCTGAGAGTGAGGCAGGCTGATACTCAGTCAGGCTGAGGCTGAGGCTGTGATTGCGAATGCCGTTGCCACTGCGACTGTCGTCACGAATGCGACTGTGACTGTGAGAACAGCAGAATTCTACAACTGGATTCTGATCTGAATCTTAAGGAGAATGCTTCCAGATATGCTTCTACACATCGCTGTTAGGTTGCTTTGCCGGGATAATTGGTATTGCGAAAACTGCCCGGGAGGCCCGGGAGGGCCCGCCTCGGTGGCCGCCGGGCGCGGGTGTCTGCTCGGGAGGCCGGGGGAGTGCCTCCGGGCCCGCCGGAGTGCGCTTCGGGCCTCTTCTCTTTCCGGGTGGACCCCTTTTGGAGCGGAGATGAAGCGCTTCTTGCCGCCCTCCCTCCCTCTCTCCCTCCTGGTCGATTCCCTCTTGGAGGTCTGTGTGGAGTTCCTGGGTCGGCGTTGGGCACCCCTCCCCGCACCTGCTCTGTGCGGGGGACGCTGTTGCGGCAGTGTCTGGAGTGTGGAGAGGGGGGTCGGGCTCAGACCTGGACCTCGGCGCGGACCCCTTGGAGCCGGTCGTGGCTGGGGTGGGATGGCGTTTGCGATGGGTCGGCAGCGTGTGCTTCCTCCCCCACTCCGATCCTCTCTCCCTCCATCCGGCTAGCCTCGTACCTACGTCGTGCGTTGGCGTAGGATGGAGCCGAGACCGGGCGAGGATCCCTGCTGGAGGGCCGCTGATGCCCCCTCCCCAGGAAGACCCAAATCTAGCGTCAGCCTTCCGGCTTTGGGCGTGGCACCTCTCCGGAGGGAGCCTGGGAAGCTGAGGGAGGTTTGGGCACGGTGGCTCGCAAGGCCTCGTACCCTCCCCCTCTCTCCCAAGGCTGCTTCCCTAGAGTGGTCTCATCCATCCCTGGGCTGACGTTGCGGGGTTGCTGTCGGTCGCCGGTGGGGCCCCGCAGCTCTCTACTAAAGGGGCTGAGCCCGCAGTCCCAACATGCCACCTCGCTGGGAGGTTACCAACCAACCAACCAAGCAACCCTCGTCCTCTTTGTCCTCCTCGTCCTCTCCTCCTCCTCCTCCTCCTCCTCCTCCTCCTCCTCCTCCTCCTCCTCTGTCAAGACGGCACAAGCATGGTTTCTCGGAGGTCTGCGTGGAGTTCTGGGACAGGCGCTGGTCACCCCTCCCCTGGCGCGCGGGGCGTTGCGCCGGGGGCGGCCCCGACCGCCAATTTAAGGAATCCACGCGGACCGCCGAGAAATGACGTCCATGCTGCTTTTTGTTCTCCGAGTCATCGTCATCGCCGTTGTAACTTCCTCCTTCTTCCCGTCCATCCTCCCTCCCTCTCTCCTTCCCTCCCTCCTCCCTTGCTCGAGCCACCAGGAGGGGCCTCCACGTAGGCGGACAACGGTATGGCCATTGAAAAGCAAGTGCTCGCCCCTGCGCCCTGACCTGCCCTTCCAAGTCCACACATCGACGGCTCGACCCCCCGGAGAGACAAGCCGGCGATCGTCAGTCGAAGTGGAGCCTCAGGCTTCGACCCCCCGGTCGCTGTACTCTCCAGTCGGCATGCTGGACCACGCGTCGCCGCCGGCACCGCCGCAGCGCGCCCACCACCCGCCGCAGGCAGTACACCTGGGCCCGCCTGCTCTTCCGGCGGCAGGCGGAGGGCTCGCCCCTTCGGAGCCCGCGCCGCCGCCGAGGCGCCCCGCCTGCCGGTGGCCTCGCGGCGTGCCGCTCTGCCGGGCGGGAGTGCCCACGCCGCGCGCCGCGCAGGGGCTGCTCGGGGCCGCCCGCAGCGCAGGCGGCGCCACCGCGGCCGGCGCCTGCGGCTGCGACGCCCCCCGCGGAGGCGCCCGCAGCCGCGAAGGGCGTGCAGGGAGCGGCGCCGGGCCCGCTCCCGACGCGTCGACTCCCCACGACGAGGGGGAGGAGCAGCATGGGCGAGGCGGCGACGGCGCAGCGGCGGCCGGACGGTGACGTGGGCTCGAATTTGAAGCGCTTGCGCTCGGGCACCGGGGGTACTTCGGCGGCGACCTCGAGATCCGCAGAGACCTCACCGCAGGGGTACGTCCGCGGCGTGGCGCGCCAGCTCCCCGACGAGGGGGGGAAGGCTCTCGCGGGGGCCGAGGAGCGCGGGCTAGGCGGCGCTGCCTCCAGAGGGCGGGGTGAGAGAGCCGCAAGCCCCCACACGGCCCTCGTCCTGCTCGCTCACGGTGGCCAGGGTGAGGCCGCCCCCTCGGTGCTTGTCAGCAAAGCGTCCGCCGGCCCAAAGGGCCCCGACCCCCTCGCGTGGTGAAAAGTCATAACCGGATTTTTGTTCGCTATGTTCGGCCTCTGGGGGCCCTTTCGGGCCCTCGGGACTTGCAAAATAACGACTCAGGACGAAAAGCCAGTCCCGGGGAAGGGGTCCAGACCACTGGGGGTCGACGTGAAAATCACGACGTCGGGGGTCTGGGAATGCCGAGGCCTAGCTCGTTCTGTTCGCAGCGATCCCTCGTTCATCCTCTGGGCCTTGCGCCTGAGGGAGAGCCTGCCCCACAATGGGGCGCGGCAAGACGGGCTATCTGGAAGCTGAATTCCGCCGCCGCCTCCTCCTTCCCTCCATCCCTTTTCCTCTTTCTCCTCCGTCGACGACGCCTTTTGCTGCGGCGACGACGAAAAAGACGAGACGGGAGCTCGAACTCACCCCGTCGTCGGAGAAGGAGTACGAGGGCGAAGGAAAGCATATCCCTCCTCCTCCTCCTCCTCCTCCTCCTCCTCCTCTTCCTTCTACTTCTCCTCCTCCTCCTCCTCATCATCATAACCATCATCATCATCATCATCATCATCATCATCATCATCATCATCATCATCATCATCATCATCATCATCATCATCATCATCATCATCGTCATCATCATCATCATCATCATCATCATCATCATCATCATCATCACCACAATCAGCATCATCATCATCATCATCAGCAGCATCAGCATCAGCATCAGCATCAGCATCAGCATCAGCATCAGCATCATCATAATCATCATCATCATCAGCATCATCATCCATCTTGCTTCTCCTCACTTCTCCCTGTTCCTCCACGCTCCCCATATTTCCCTTCTAGGCAGCTCCTCCCTGCCGCACCCCCAAACGTGTGGGCAGAGAGGACCCGGCGTTTCGCCCGAGACATCCCCACCATGTATAATCCTCGAGCTTGCACTTTGTCACAGCTTCGCGGAGGAATGACGGGCCGTTCTCAAACATCGCTCTCGCCCGAGCGCCGCGCGCATCCGCCATAGAGCTTGAGACAGCTGCCAGGACGCAGGGCGGACCGTTTGCAAAATGTGTGGCTATCGCCTCAGCGCCGCGGACGTTCAACGAAATGGAAGGCAGATCGCTTTTAGCATGTGTCTCTCGCCCCTGCGCCGTGCGCGTTCGTCTTCAACGTTTGTTGCAGCTTCCAGGAAGGAGGACGGGTGCTGTTGCAGATGCGGCTGTCGCCCGAGCGCCGTGCACATTCGTCTCGAAAGTTCGCAGAATTGTTCAGTTTCCTTTGGCTGAATAGCAGGGGATGTTGTTGTGGCGCGATTGGAGACTGCCTGGACGCAACCGTAGCTTTGGTTCGCGATCTTGAACTCCCAGGAGCCGCGCGCTGGCGCGATTTAGAACTGTCGGGACGCAAAGTCACTTTGATTCGTGGCGCTGGAATCTCAAGAATGGCGGTTCGGCGCGAGTGCGGCTTCTCGGACGTTTGTCTTCCAATGGTGTACTTACTCCCCGCGATGACCACACATGCTTACGGGGACCCATGAAGAGGGAGCTTGGAGGGAGGGCTCATCGCAACATCGTTGATGCGTCCTGATCCTCCTCCTCCTCCTCCTCCTCCTCCTCCTCCTCCTCCTCCTCCTCCTCCTCCTCCTCCCTCTCCTCCTCTATCCCCCGCGCGCGTGGATGCTTGCGGGGTGCGAAAGCTCCGCTCGGCAGAACGTCGCGCACCCCTGGATGCTCGCCTGGCTTCCGCCGTCCACCGCGCTCCCCATCATGCCCATGGCGCCGCCGCTGCCGCTGTAGTCGGCGGTCTTGCACGACTGCACGCAGGCGTTGAAGCTCTTGCCGCTGACGGTAATCTTCTTGCCCGAGGGCGTGGTGTAGGTCAGGGTCTTGCCTGGGAGGACGCCGGCTGAGCACGCACACCGGTGCCGGCCAGGCCGACTCTGGGCCCCAGAATCGGCGCACGCGCGCCCCGTCTCCCCCACAGCCTCCAGGACCTCCAGCGCCGTGTTTCCCTCCAAGGTTCAAAGGGCCCAAGGACACACAAATAAATACACACAAATAAAAAGATCCCCCTATATTTTCCTATATTTTCTGGGTTTTTGTCTTCCCGCCCAATTCCCATATTTTTCCATATTTTCCTGGGGATCGTCGATTCATTGTGTCTGACCCAGGACCTCCGGCGCCGCGTTTCCCTCCAAGGTGGGGCCCCCGGGGCACCTCCTCCGCCGGGGTCCACTTCTGATCCCGCGTGTTGGACGGCCGCGGGTCCCGAAACGGAGTCCCCCCCTGAGATCCGACGGCGCGACACGATTGCAGCGTCGCGCAACCTCACGACTGGAGCCCTGGATCTCCTCTTTCCGCTGCACCCTTCGGGCCGGGTCGTTCCGTGAGGGTCGGGTCCCCCGAGAAGACGCGACAACGCCCGGCTCGAACAACTGGCGACGCCAAGATCTCGGGGTCCCGAGACGCCGACATCGGCGAACTTTGTCCTGAGTCCAATTCAAAGGGGCTCCTAGAGAGGGTCCGACTAGATGGGATCGGAGGATCGCGCCGCATCGCCAATGCATCGCCAATGCATCGGCGATGCATCGGCGCTGCCTCGGCGACGTTGGCGATGCAACGGCAATGCCGGCGTGGGGAAATCGGGCGGCGCATCGCCGATGCATCGGCGATGCGGCGCGATCCTCCGACTCCATCTACTCGGACCCCATCTAGGAGGCCTAGAATTACGACGCCAAAATCTCGGGGTCCCGAGACGCCGAAACCGGCGAGAAACCTTAATCCTGAGTGCAGTTTTCGGTGGCAGCTCATGGGGGCCTCCCATACCATCTTGTCGGCTCTTGTGAATCGACGCTAACCGATGCTAGTCGACGCTAATCGACGCTGAATCGACGCTGAACGACGCTAGCAGACGCTACATCGGCGTTCTGTCATCGACTCTCGGACGCTAATCGACGCTAACGGCGGAACCAACAGGGTACGCCAAGCCCCCATGATTTGCTACCGAACCAATTAAACACGCCAGACTGGATGTCAATGGCCTGGCCAGGAAGGCAAACGTGCGACGCGCCGGTCCCAGGCACGGCCTCTGGGGCCTGGCCCGTCTCGGCCTTCGGCTTGCGCGAGCTCTTGAGGCTCTGGAGGCGGCCATGGGGGGGGGGGCCCGAGCTGGATAAGCCCAGAGAAGATCGGTCAAGAGGGGGGGGCGAAGACAACTTCGCTCAAGACCTGTCCCTGGACCCCTCGGAGGGTCGAAGCTGAGGAATGTCTCGACTCGCGTCCAGCCGTGGCGATGAGGGGCCTTTTTCTGGTCGGAGCCAGAGCTGGGCCACCTCAGCCCCCCAGCTGGCTCCTCCCTCTCCCTCATCCTCGTACTCCTAAGCCTCCTCCTCCGCCTCCGCCTCCTCCTCCCCCTCCTCCTCCTCCTCCTCCTCCTCCTCCTCCTCCTCCTCCTCCTCCTCCTCCCCCTACCTCGTCCTCCTCCGTCCTCTCCTCCTCCTCCTCCTCCTCCTCCTCCTCCTCCCCTCCCCCTCCCCTCTCCCCTCCTCCTCTCCTCCTCCTCTCCTCCTCCTCCTCCTCCTCCTCCTCTCCTCCTCCTCCTCCTCCTCCTCCTCCTCCTCCTCCTCCTCCTCCTCTCCTCCTCCTCCTCTCCTCCTCCTCCTCCTCCTCCTCCCTCCTCCTCCTCCCTCCTCCTCCTCCTCCTCCTCCTCCCCCTACTCCTCGTCCTCCTCCTCCTCCTCCTCCTCCTCCTCCTCCTCCTCCTCCTCCAAGTTTAGCTGGCGCCCCCGCGTGCCCGAGGGCTGGCCGCCCCCGTCCTTGTCGCCACCGCCGCCGTCCTTCGGAGGGGAGGGGCGCGTGAACACGCAGGCTTCCTTCGGGCGTTCTAGAGGCCTCCTAGATGGGGTCCGAGTAGATGGGGTCGGAGGATTGCGCCGCATCGCCGATGCATCGGCGATGCATCGGTGATGCATCTGCGACGTCGACGATGCATCTGCGGCGCTGGTGCGGGGAAACACGGGCTCCACATCGAGCCGCATCGCCGATGCATCGGCGATGCGGCGCGACTCTCCGACCCCATGGACTCCGCCCCCATTCAAGAGGCCTAGACGTCCGCAGAGGGCGGCTCATCCGCCCTCGCCCGGACCACCCGCGCGCACCGCGGGCAACGAGACAGTCGTCATGGCCATGAGCTTTCGGGCATGGCCCGCGCGGGGAGACCAGACCCCCTCCGCTCCGGGCCTTGGCAACCTTCTTGCGCTCCCGGCGTCTCCGCCCCCCGGCTCCCAGCCCCGGGATCCTCACACATCGATCCCGCTCGAAAAAATGCAGCGGACAGGTGGGGTCCGGGGCTCTATAGTCGACCTGGAGCTCCAAAACGTCGCCGATGCATCGCTGGTGCATCGGCGATGCATCGGCGACGCCAGCGTGGGGACAAAATCGCGCTCCACACATCGAGCCGCATCGCCTGTGCCTCGACGGTATACGGCGCCCTGCTCTGACCGCGCGGAGTCCTCGGGCCCGAGGCCCGCCGCGCCGAGCTCGCAGGCCGGCGCCGAGACCGCCGCCCCCCTCCCCCCGCACTCTAGGCATCCCGGATGGGTCGGGGATCTTCTGACCCGGGTCAATCCAAACCCGGGTCAGCAGGAAACCAAAAAACTTCAATGCAGGAAAAAAAAACGGCTACGCAGGTCTTGGCAAACCCGGGTCAGCCAATATGCGCGGCCGCCTCGCGGCCACGAGCGGCTCTCTAAACCCGGGTCAGCCAGAGGGGGTCTTCGCAGGATCCTGCAAGATCTGGCGCTCTGGCTGACCCCTGTTTGCATTGACCCCCGTCTCAAGGCTCCCGAATGGGGTCCGAGTCGATGTGGCCGGAGGATCGCGCCGCATTGCCGATGCATCGGCGACGCATCGGCGCTGCATCGGCGCCATCGGCGTATAGAAAATCAGGCTCTGCATCGAGCCGCATCGGTGACGCATCGGCGAGGCCAGCGATCCGCCGACCCCAGCTGCTCGAACCCCGTCTGGGATCGGCTGCGCGCAAGAGTGACCCCAGGCAAGAGTTGTGGATGCCACGACGATGGCCACTCTAACACTCCTACCATTGAATTGAAGATGTGCTTAACATGTGTGAAGCATGTTCTAAACATGTTTCAAACCTGTTTTTGCGTTTCAAATGCATGTTTGAAACATCTCTTCGACCTCTGGGAGAATTATTTGGCAGCATGCCTCCTCTCCACCGATCGCCCTCCACGAGGCAAGGGCGGCCTCCGTGGTGCGCGGCGTGCGGGGGGGAGCCGCGGGGGGGGGCCCGACCCGAGCGCGCGCAGGCCGCTGCTGTCGTACCTGGGGGGCAACGACAGGGTCAAATCGGGCCTGCTTTTGGCAGAAAAATTGAAAATACCCCCAACAAATGTTCAAACATACCCTAAAATACCCAAATTGAACATACCCAAAATTGAAAATGCCCCACTTGAAATTCCCCAAATACAAGAAAAATGATGGCTGAAAATTGAACATACCCTAAAAATGCTCAAACATTGTCAAAAAAAAGTCCCCATACTATTCTTGGACTACTTTTGAATGCTCCCCCCGTAGAGGGACAGGCCCGACTTGACGATAGGGGGGGACAGGCACCAGGGGGGGGATGCCTGGACCTGGACGCGGCGATGCCTCGCCGCTAGCTCGGCGACAGGCCCCCGAATTGGGGGAACCAAAAGTGACATGAACATAAAAACTCGGAGGTCAGCGCGGATTTCTCGGATCGGCGCTGGGGCCCCCCGGCGGCGCCTCCGGCGCCGCCCCTGGCGCGCTCCGCGCGCCAGGGAGGGGGGGGGCCCAGCGCCGATCCGAGAAATCCGCGCGGACCTCCGAGTTTTTTTGTTTATGCCACTCTCTGTTCTCCTGCGCACAGTGACTCCGCGCCTTCCTGGCCAGGCTGGGGCCCTCGGGCCCCCATCGGCGATCCGTGGGGCGAGGCGAGGTCGATGCGTCCCCCCCTCGTGCCCAACCCCCCCCTGGCGCTGCCCCCGAGAGGGCCGACGGCCGTCCTCCTGAGGAGGAGGAGGAGGAGGAGGAGGAGGAGGAGGAGGAGGAGGAGGATGTCCCTGGCGCGCCCCCGCCGAGGGGCCGCTCCGGCGCAGAGGCCCCTCCGACGCGCCACCGCACGGGAGGCCCCGCAGAGCCCTGCGCGCCCCCCTCCCCGGCGCAGGGCGCAGGGCGCCGGGCGCCGCGCGAGGGGGCGGGGGGGCAGTGGGCCGTGGCGGGCGCGGGGAGGCCGGCCGGGGGCGCCCGAGGTGCAGCGCAGCGCCCCGCCCGGCGGCGCGAAGGAGCGGCCACGGTGCAGTCAAGCAGTGCCGGAAGGCTGCGCGATGAGGGTGCCAGGGCCCTGGGCGCCCATGCCAAGGCTCTGCGAGCGGGGCGCGGCCAGCGAACGCGGCGAAGGATTGGTTTTTGCTGTGGGATCGTCTTGCGCTGTCCGTGGCAAAACTCCCGAGCCCCCCCAAAACCCGGGGCACCCTGGAGGCAAGCAGGGTGTTTCTTGGCAAGGGTCTCCACTGCACACGCAAGAGCGACACGAGGCAGGATTGGAGCCCTGGTGCGCTGCTTCTGAGGGGCGTAAGGGGGCCAGGCCCAGGAGCGAAGCCGCTGCCATCGCATCGCATTCAGCGATCGGGGGGGCCCGATGGGTCCGCCCTGGGATGCTCTTCCGTGCAGTCGAAGCGCGCGGGCGGCGGCGCGAAAGGGGCCCCCCCGAGGCCCGCGAGGTGCGGCCAGGCTGTCCGCAGGGCGACCCCGCCCAGACCGCTGAGCCTCGGGGAGCACGTGGCCTCCCCGAGATCCTGGTGCCGCAGTGCTCTCGAGGCGGGTGCCTTCGCCCCGCTTCGGGCCCCCGGGATCATCACGGATCGATGCGCCTCGAGAAGTGGCACAGAAAGATGGAGTCCAGGGCTCCGGTTGAGATTTTTACGGTGTTGTACTTCGTTGGCGTCGTCTGATCTCAGGGAATGGCGGACCTCGTGCTGCCCGATGCGACATCGGGGAGCCGCCTCCGCCCTCTCGCGCCAGTCCGAGCCGTTGCAATTGAGGGGAGGAGGAGGAGGAGGAGGAGGAGGATGAGGAGGAGGAGGAGGAGGAGGAGGAGGAGGAGGAGGAGACGGAGGAGGATGAGGATGATGATGAGGAGGAGGAAGAGAAGGAGGAGGAAGAGAAGGAGGAGGATGAGGAGGAGTAGGAGGAGGACGAGTGGAAACCCAAGAGTCATCAACGAAGTTGGAATTAGCCCTCCCTCCAGGCTCCCTCTTCGTAAGCCCCTTCGACGGTTCACTTCCATTGAAGGAACTGCCTCGCTCGAAAACAACAGTTTGAAGATCCAGAAGCGTGCCAAAACAATGTTATCGGGTTTCAACGCCACGTATCAACCTGACTGCTGCGTCTTGACGATCTTGAATCGTGCCCAAACGCTTTTTTTGGGGGGCTTCAACGCAGCGAATCAACATACTTGTTGCGCCCGCATAATCCGGAATCCTTCCAATACGCAACTTCCGTTGCGTTGATCATGGGGATCCGTGAAACTCTTGCATTTTGAAAAAGAGAAGCGGATCTGCGCGGCGCTAAGGCGAGAACCACATTTTGAAAAGGAGCCGCCCTCATTCCGTGAAGCTATTGCAACTTTTTAAAACGAATGTGCGCGGCGCTGAAGCGAGAACCACATTTTGAAAACCACCCGCCCTCAATCCGTGAAACTCTTGCAAATGTTTAAGGCGAATGTGCGCGGCGCTGGTGCGATAACCACGTTTTGAAAACGATCCGCCCCGAATCCGTGAAACTCCTGCAATGTTTAAAGCGAATGTGCGCGGTGCCAAGGCGAGAGTCGCATTTTGAAAACCACCCGCCCTCCATCTGTGAAGCGGTTGTCGCTTTTTTAAGCTTCAGAAGCATGCGTGGTGAGGAAGTCTCTTTCGAAACGCCCGGCCCGCCCTAAAAACTGGCCTCGCGGTGCGACAGGGGGGAGTTATCTATAAGGCGAAGGAATGGCGGAGGAGAGGAGGAGGAGGAAGAGGAGGAGGAGGAGGAGGAGGAGGAGGAGGAGCAGGAGGAGGAGGAGAAGGAGGAGGAGGAGGAGGCAGCGAAGCAGGAGGAGAAGGAGGAGGAGGAGGAGGAAGAGGGGAGGAAACGGTGGAACAGAAGGAGGAGGTGCGAGTCGGGGGAGGAAGATAGGAGGAGAAGGAGGAGGAGGAGGTGGAGGAGGAGGAGCAGGATGAGGATGAGAAGATTGAGGGGCGAGGCGGGAGCAGAGGAGGAGGAACAGGAGGAGCATGATGATAATGAGGATGATGAGGATGATGATGATAATGATGCTGATGACGATGAGGAGGAGGAGGAGGAGCGAGGAGGGATGATCGAGGAACGTGGTACGACGAGGTGGAAAGGAGAAAGCGGAAGAGGAGGAGAACGAGGAGGAGGAGAAGGAGGAGGAGGAGTAGGATCAGTGTAAAACCGAGACGCGCCAACGATGTTGCACTACACCCTCTCTCCGAATTCCTTCTCTTAGGTCTCAACGGTAATCTGTTTTCATTGGAAAACCATCGTCTGAAAATCACCAACCGTGCCACAACACAATTCCTGGGACTTCCGCGCGGCGGCGAATTGACGTGACTGGTGCGTCCTGACAATCCGGAACCATCCCAGAACACTAATCCTGAGACTTCAACACTGAGAATCAACGTGCCTGTTGCGCCTTGGCAAGCCGAAGTCGTGCCAAAACAATGTACCTGGGCAGCTTTCAAAGATCCGTGGAATTGTTGCAAGCATTCAAGACACATGTGCGCGGTGCTAG